CTCCAGCTGGCGCCACAACTGATTCCCACTAAATTCGCTGTAAACTTCTGTATAGGGGTTATTTGGGGTCCTAATTACGAATAAGACATTCGTTTTGTTGTTGGCGCTATTCAGCGCCTAGGCCACTGCCCCTGTGGTCTGACACACTCCAACTTTTGCCACACGGTGCGTGGTTTACCCACTCCGGAGTTTCACTCCCCTCCCCTAAGCTTAGTCTTATTAGGCGCTATAGGTGAGCAAGAAACAGCACGAATGTCAGAAACGAGTGTCATATTCGTGATCAGGGCCCCAAATAACCCCTATTCAGAAGTTTACAGCGAATTTGGTGATAATCAGTTGTGGCGCCAGCTGGCGCGGCGCCAGCGCCAAAAATGGATGTCATATTCGTGATCAGGACCCTCGAAAGTTTCAGCGAAAATTATTTTTTGACCCATCTCGGCCCCCCCCCCTCTGGGGTTGTAGTAGTGTAGTAGTGCCCAAATGGGATCTGAAGTTTTAAACCCCTACCCTCCGCTAACTATAAGACATAGAGCTCCCAAGCTGCAAGTAGAAACATGCTTATCGGCTCACTTTCTGCCAGTTTTTTTCTGTACTCGTTGTGAGATTAGCTGTATTGTGTGCCGGCGACAACGACACGGCGCAAATAACGCCTAATAGTGGTTTGGTTCAGCAGTGGATTAACGTTTTGGATTTTCAGCCCATTCTATCTAGTTTAAGTTTATCAAAGTGTCAGCTTATCCCTTTCTCTCCTGATGCACGTCATGGTTCTGACTCTGATCAGAAACTTTCGAAGTTTTGTTTTTCCTACCCTGGAGTCTTTGTACAAAAAATGCAGGTCGAGTTGATCATTCTCTCTCCTGACGTTTATAACGGGTTACAAAGCGTTTGGTCGAGATACTCATTGTACGCGTTCCATACCGTCTTGAATCGTAATGGCATTCAGAAGCATATTTTGGTCCAATGAGTTGTCTGCACAGCTATGACAGTTGGCTTATTCACCTGGGTAACGA